TTAGCAGCTGAAGTTCAGTGTGTTAGCAGCTGAAGTTCAGTGTGTTAGCAGCTGAAGTTCAGTGTGTTAGCAGCTGAAGTTTGTGATGTGTTAGCAGCTGAAGTTCAGTGTGTTAGCAGCTGAAGTTTGATGTGTTAGCAGCTGAAGTTTGTGATGTGTTAGCAGCTGAAGTTCAGTGTGTTAGCAGCTGAAGTTTGATGTGTTAGCAGCTGAAGTTTGATGTGTTAGCAGCTGAAGTTTGATGTGTTAGCAGCTGAAGTTTGATGTGTTAGCAGCTGAAGTTCAGTGTGTTAGCAGCTGAAGTTCAGTGTGTTAGCAGCTGAAGTTTGATGTGTTAGCAGCTGAAGCAGCTCTGTTTTTGGCTGATCTGGAACTGATGAGATGAGGAGTTTTTGGTTAGAAGTTATCAGAGAGGAGTAGAGGAGAGTAGAGTAGAGGAGAGGAGAGGAGAGGAGAGGAGAGGAGGAGCAGCTGTTTTAGCAGAAAACTACTTCCTGAATCTTCAGCTAACTTTCCACACGTCTGTGGGCCGGAGCTGTGCGTAAAGGAAGGTTTTAGCTCCGCCCCCTCATGTTTCCCCTCACACCATCTGCAGGGAGCACATCAGAGCAGTTATACCCACTTCTGCAGAACCATGACCTTTGACCCCTCCCTGTTCCTCCTCCTCACAGGTTTGTGTTGCGACAGTGTTTTCCTCCTGTTAGTTCCAAATGTGAGGAGCCATCTGTCAGAGAAACAGGAAGGGCCCAGGGCCCCCCCTCCTCCTCCTCCCACCTCCTCCCCCCGGGCTTTGCTTGGCTATTTTCAGGAGCTTCACTTCTCCCCGTGTGGCGGCTCGGAGCGGGCAGCCGCCCACGCCAAGTGTCGGCGCCGAGGCCGAGGCTGCCAGGCCCATCTGCTGCAGGCTGAGGGTCCTCCATTATTAATGAGAGGAGCAGGGCCAGAGGAGAGGAGGAGGAGGAGAGAGGAGGAGGAGAGAGGAGAGGAGAGGAGAGGAGAGGAGGAGAGAGGAGCAGGGCCAGAGGAGAG